GTATCACTTATGGTTCTTTTTAACTCTGTTTTCTTTGCAAATGTTTTCTGACCTACTCAGACTTGATTTCTCTTACCTTACAGGACCTTTTAAAGGTGTAGTATTTTCTTTCTATGGTGAAGAACATTTGTTTTTCTGTTGAAGTTTTTTGGTTGATCTTTAGCAGTCAATGGATCTGCAAGCTGAAATGAAAAACAAAACCGCCTCACAAGCACAGTCAATACATGAATACATGGCTACACTGCACTAATGAGCCCCAATTAGGGTAAAAGTAGTTTGTTTGCTAAATGTTTTGACTGCTTGTTCACTAATACTGCCATCAGTAATAGACTTGCACATTATCAGACTGCACAGCAATTAATTAATATCTTGCCATTATCTAGAGTTGTATAGAGTGTAATATGTTCAGGTGGGTAGCTGCGTCAGCATGCGTAGGCTGCAAAGGAACAAGTAATAGGTTTATTCCATGCTGAAAAAAAAGAAGAAAGAGAACACAACGTTTCGGCCGTGGAGCCTTCTTCAGGTGTGAAGAAGGCTCCACGGCCGAAACGTTGTGTTCTCTTTCTTCTTTTTTTTCAGCATGGAATAAACCTATTACTTGTTCCTTAGAGTGTAATATTGCACATTACTAATAAAACATACTGCATAAAATAATTAAAAAGTTGAAGAAATTGCTTCATCCTTTCTTGCTCTTTCTTATATACAATTAAAAAATAATAATATTTGATTATTAAATGTTCAGTGTAACAATAATACTGTATCTAAATATAATTTATTTCAAGATTGCATATCATGAAGAAAGCATTATATTTTATTAAAATGTTTTCTTATAACAATGTAACTAAAAGTATAAAAGAAATCACACCTGTCACACCAATAACATTGTAATTGTATTTCATTTTTTTGAGATGGAAACAGAAACTGGTGAATTTTCCTATTTTGGCAATATCTTTCGGGAATTAAAAGAAATCCACTCTGCTTTTGAGATTACTTTCTGGTCATCTTTGTGGATGAATGTGTGCTGCCAATAATTTTGGGGAGAATTACTAAAAACAATTAATCATTTGTAAAACGGTGAAGTAAAAATGATGTCTTAGGTAGGGATGCTCCGATCAGGCTCCTTAGGGGCAATGCCCATCACCGATGCCATGTCATTCGAATCGGCCGATACCAATACCATTTTATTCTTTTAAAAGCTCATACTAAACCAGCAATGTACAAGCCTCATGTCTCATGGTAAAGTGTTACCCTTGTTATTTTTTCCAATTAAAATAAACTGTAGAACACAAGCGTAAGTGGTTTATTGTTTATTAACAAAATGAAATGTAATGGGCATGTCGTTCAATCACCATAAAATAAACACTTCTTACTAATATAAATAAAATAATCACTTAAAATAAAGACATTTTACTAATAAAACATATACACAAAACATTTCTACACATGACACATACATATGGCATATAGTGTATACATAGAAATAAGAAAAAACAAGCTGAAACAAAATAAAAGACTTAAATCACAACCCACAATTCTATTAAAATAAAATGTTCAATAAGATAGTTCAGGTGGGGAGCTGCGTCAGCTTGCGTAGGCTGCAAAGGAACAAGTAATAGGTTTATTCCATGCTGAAAAGAGACGAGAGAAGGCTGTGGAACCTTCTTCCTGTGTGGGTGTGTTCAATAAGATGTTTAACAAGAAGATAGCAGCCTGCTACAACCAAAAAGAAACAAGTCAGCCTAATTTAGCTCTTTAGCTACTAAGCCTATTGTTTACTAATCATCGAGGACAGATTCATGATTATGAATAAGAACATCTGTTTTGAAGACAATCTGTTCCTCTTCTCATCCAACATGTGTGCTGCTGTACTGAATAGACTCTCACTGTCTAGGAAATCAACAAGCTCATTAAATCCTCTGACAACTGCTCTTTCTTTCACATTTCACCTGTTTGTGTATGATGATTATTAGATGATTTGTGCAGTATATTAATTAATTAATCACAGCACTTGCCCTTTTATCTTCAAATTGCATTCTAATTTAAACATGTTTCTTCTTTTTGTTTGGAAATATTTACATATGATTTAAAAACAACTGTAGTAGTAATGTTTTTGCATAATTGAATATGTTATGGACTTTTTATGGCTCCCTCTAGTGGCAGAGATTGGTTATGGGTTATCTCGAGTTCTGGAGAAAGACCCCTTTCATCTAGCAAGCTCCTTGTTTAAACTTCTCCATTTGGGAAGGAGGTTTCAAAACATCAAATGTAGTCCTGCTCGGTTTCCAAAATAGCACCTACTGTATGTAGAGGCCATTAGATTAGGCACCTCATAATGTTGTATTTGTAAGTGTAATACTGTATGTCTATTTGCTGCACTAGAAAAATTTCCAATCAATTTTGTTGACATGGCAATCAAGAATAGAATAGAATAGAATCGAATTGAATTGAATTGAATTGCAATGTCCAGGGCTAATTTTTTCACTCCTGTCTCCATATTGATTTTGATCCCAAATTACACAGTAGCAATTATCCAACTACTGCCTTCATAGCGGCATGAAACAGCCATCAGTGCATATTATCATCAATGTATCTCTTATCTCTCAGATAAGTAGCTCTTTAAGTTAACAGTTTCTTTCATTCCTATTGTACCATCCTGGCAGCTGAGGCACTCAGTGTGTATTATGAGTTTAAAGCCACCAGCCATATCACCCTGCAACTCACAACTGGCAACCCACTGAAGCGCAGCTGGTGTGAGCCTGGTCAGTACCTGGATGTGAGACCTCCTGGGAAAAACTAAGGTTGCTGCTGGAAGAGGTGTAAGTGGGGCCAGCAGGGGGCGCTCACCCTGTGGTCTATGTGGGTCCTAATGTCCTAGTATAACGACGGGGACACTATACTGTAAACAGGCGCCGTCCTTCGGATGAGATGTAAAACCAAGGTCCTGACTCTCTGTGGTCATTAAATATCCCAGGGCGTTTCTCGAAAAGAGTAGGGGTGTCACCCCAGCGTCCTGGCCGAAATTTCCCATTGGCCCTTACCAATCATGGCCTCCTAATAATCCCCCTGTATGAATTGGCTACATTACTCTGCTCTCCTCCCCACTGAGAGCTGGTGTGTGGGGAGCGTTCTGGCGCACTATGGCTGCCCTCGCATCATCCAGGTGGGACTGCACACTGGTGGTGGTGGAGGGGATCCCCATTACCTGTAAAGCGCTTTGAGTGGAGTGTCCAGAAAAGCTCTATATAACTGTAAGCAATTATTATTAAACTGATTCAGTTATCGATTTCTTTCATTCCTATTGTACCTGATTAAAAAAGTGATCAATCTTAGCCGCTCTACTTGAAACATATTAATGTCCAGTAGTTCCCATCCTGGCAGCTAAGGCACTCAGTGTGTGTTATGAGTTTAAGGAATTTCAAAGAGGTACGTGAGACAGCCTCACTCTCCATTGAAGCTCAGGACACCAAAGCGTGTGTGGTAGACATTGCCACACTACAATGTCAGAGATGTCATCTCTTTTTCTCAGGGAAAGACTTCCAACATTACATTCCTCCTTGTTCAAAGGAGAGACTCATTCTTTGGAAGTGTGTACTTTTTAAGGTAATGAAACAATGTGCATCTGGAATTATATTTGAACTATTCAAATATATATCAAAATGTGTGAAACTACATACAGTAAAATACATAAATAGAGAGATAATAGATAAATTAATGCAATTCCTACATGAAAGATACTTTTTTTGATCATTGTAGTACATATATTTATTTTAAAAACATTTAAATATGGAAATTAATCAATTAGTCCACTACAAAAAAAGACAGTTTATAATAGAAAAGGATACAGAAAGTTATGCATTTCTGTATTCCTACCACCACCTTCTCCAAAAAGGAACACGTTGTGTAGTCAAATCTTATAATGTATACAGTATTGTTCTATTATTTCTGTATCTATGACTCTCAACCAAGATGTTTAGGAAATATCGTGTCTAGTGGTTTGGCTCTGGCAAATACATAAGAGCTCCCTCACATCTGACTAAAAAAGCTATTGCCTAATTAGCAAGTTGAGGTGAGACTGCATACTGTTCTATATGCTGAAAGTACTGAGTGGAGAAAAGTCTCAACAAGCAAACAGATCAATTACGTGCATCAGTGGTTAAGGCCCCAATTAAATTGAAAACCAAAAGAGACTGGTGTCCCTCTGGACCAGGGCAGAGTGCCTTTGTTCCATATGTTGCAGAAAAAATAAGATAATACATGAATAGTTAACATAGGGAATATAAATTAAAGTTGGTGAAAGTTAAAAATTGAAACATAACATAAAAGTATTTAAATATTAACAATAAGTTTAAAATACATTAATTACTCTACAATGATTTTGAGGGCATTTTCCCCATCACATGTTTTTTTGTATTTTTTTCTGGTTTAAATAAAATAATATAACATTTTGGCATAAAAATACAGAAAAGCAACCCAAAACTTGAAGCTAAAATAGCAAAGATTTCCACAGCTACTGTGAACTTCCCAGGAGAGCTGATATAAGCTGGGATAAAGGTGATCCAGACAGCACAGAATATGAGCATGCTGAATGTAATGAATTTGGCTTCATTGAAGTTATCAGGCAGCTTCCGAGCCAG